ATATTGTATGCTGCAGTCCTTGACCCTCTGCAGCAGGTGCTTCAGGTCCTCTTCAGTTTCAGCAAGCAGGGTTGTGTCATCCGCATAACGCAGACTGTTGATAAATCGTCCACCAACGGTATATAGTATCGTTTAAGTCACTACTTCAGATACTTAAGACCTGTAACTAGGCTTTGCACTCACTCTCACTGCCAGTGGGTCAGAACTGAATTATAGCTGATCCTCCCGTGGATTTTCAGAGGCTGTAAAAAACAGGAGACTGCCCATCTTTCTCCTGAGGAACAGCTTGTGGATCTGAATCGTATGCTTTTAAAGTGGCAGCTCAATTCCTTATCTAAAACAAAGGGAAGGAATGCAGCAGAAAGAGAAATGAACATATTTCAAAGAGCAGTTTGAGAATATAAAGTATTTTCACAAAATGGGCAAGGAGCTGGAGTCAGGAAAACAAACGGCGGCACTCAGTATTTATTTCTCAAATGGAAAGAACCGAAGAACAAAGTCAGGCCTTGACTTGCAAAAAGGAATGATTCTGTTGGTAAAATTCTGCTTGATGCAGAAGATGGAAGGAATACACTGTATCAAAAAGAACTGGTCAACAGGGAATAATTGTGGAAGCAGCATATAATCAAGAATCAATGGTAATAATGAAGGAAGATGTTTTAATTTGTACTGAATACACTGGCAATACTGAGTCCCCAAGAGCTGATGGCATACCAACTGACATGTTTCAACAAACAGATGCAGCCTTGGATTCAGTTTTTTTCCCAAGAAGTTAGGAAGACAGCTACCTGGCTAATTGATTAAAGAGATCCATATCTATTCCTATCCAAAAACAGGTGATCTAACAGGATGTGTAAATTATCAAACAACATCATTAATATCAAATGCAAGTAAAATTATGCTGAAGATTATCCAATAATGGCTGTAACATCAACAGGACTGCTGGAAATCAATGGAGTTCAGGGTAGATTCAGAAGAGGCTATGGCACAAAGGGATATGACTGCTGATGTCAGATGGATGTTCCCTGA